AAAACGCGCGTAGCGCCGCTAGCGGAGGAGCTGGCGTTCGACAGTGAGGCGCGGTCAGCAGCCTGCGGCGCCTTTTCGCATGCGAAGCTGTGGCGGCAAAAGCGCGCACGGACGAAACTTTTGCTTTTTGAGCCGACACGTTGAGGGTGACGTTCCACGAGTGCTGTGGCAGACCTAAGAAGGGCATCTAGCTGTTCTCCACTTCTTATATATTGAGTTTGAGCCGTTATTAGGGGTAATTTGTCTAGTTGCCACCTAAAAAGGGGTTGGAGCAATTTTCCGAAAAGCAAGACGGCCGCCACCATAAATGCTCTGAGTGGGAAATTTGTTTCGCTCGTCGCTGTAAACGGGACTGCTGAAACGGTGATATTTAGAGGCGAGAGAGATGTTCACTAAGTTTGTGCACGAAGTGTGCCAAGTTTCATTAAGACAGCAGGTGTGAAAGTTATGTATCTAGCGAATAAAGAAATAAAGAAATCCAATATGGGACCCAAAATGTTGTGCTCTAACCGGACTGTGCGAAGTGCAGATTTGGGCACACAGGTGCTTGGACTTGACAGTAACATGATACAGCACTTATTATACCAAAAAGAGGTGGCATAGAGAAACCAGGTGGAAATTTGGTTTGGGCGGCGTAACTCACTGGTAACCGGTTTTGACCATGAAAGGGCTGTCAAGAAAATACCACTCGACGTGGGAGGTGGAGACTTTACAGGTAGGAAGGGACTAGTGGATTCTACTCCCAATTAAAACAACGTTACGAAAAGTGGTTCTAAAGCCGAGAAAACAAAGTTGTCGGCCAACACACGGTTTGGCCGTCAAAGGCTTTTGCGGTCAGCTGTTGTGTAATAACCTGTTGCGCGAGGTGCTGATTTTCGGCACACAGGTACTTTGACATGACCGTAACTTGACACAGCACTTATTATACCAAAACGAGGTGGCATAGCGAAACCAAGTGGAAATTTAGTTTGGGCGGCGCAACTAAATGGGAACCAGTTTTGACCGTTAAAGGCTGTCAAGGTAATACCACTCATCGTGGGAGGTGCACACTTTACAGGTAGGACGAGACCAGTGGACGGTACTTCCAGTTCAAACAACTTTGTGATAGGTGGATCTAAAGCCGAGAAAACAAATTGTTGTCTACAGAACTCGGGGTGTCAGCGTTTCTACATCCAAAAGGAGGCTGATCAAAAAAGAAAGGACACCACATAAACTTCCTTACTCAATCGTTCATATTCATATTTGATTCATATTTGTCACTTTTTTTTTTTTTTATCGTTCGAAGTTTTCTTTGTGAAGTACAGATTGTGTGCCATACTTGTCCGGAAATATCATCGACACGTACGATGGGGACGAAACTTCTTTGAGGGCATTTTTCCAACGAAATTGGCACTGTATACCCGCGAGTGTGGGATGGTATTTCAGTTCGTCCCATCGGCGCTAACACATGTAAGCGTCACTGGTACGAAAACAAACGCAGAGCGCAAAGCGGCAGTGTAGAATGCCAGCCGTGCCGACACAGTGAAAGATAAGATCGGGAAACTAATTTCTCGCGTAGTAGGGCACGGGTCCATCTGTGTCGCTGTCCCACAAAACATCGGCGAGGTGAAAAACTGTGAAACTTTGTCCCCACGAGATACGACGCACAACTATTGAAGCACTTAACGACGCAGCACCGGTAGCACTTCATGCTGTGAACCCAGCGCAACCGCACCGCTCCGACTTCAATGCGTACCAACGTACGTGGCGTGGTTTCGGTTTCGTTTTCTCTGGGGTTCTCACTGCCTACCTTCGGCAACGGCCGCGCGGCGGCGCGCCAGTCGCGTCGCACGGAGTGTATAGAAGGACTCTACGCGGATTATCTCTGGGAGGGGGGAGAACAGTTGTCATTGCTCGCACAATCGCGTCGAGTGCCGTTCGACGTCCCTACCCTCCTTCGTTTCCTTTGAATGTCGAGCCGAGCAGGAACGCTTGAATGGCAGGCACTTACCAACCTTATTTCTCACAGTGGAAGATAATACAGCAAGGGTACGTACCATGCATCAGAAAAATTAAGTGGAAACTTTCAAGGGGGGGGGGGGGGGGGGGAGTCAGAAAACCTCGAATGAAAGACCACTAAACTTAGGTTGAGAATCGCGCTGAGTAGGTTTCCACAGTCCAAGAGAGTGGCAGAAAATTTCTGGCTGATAGGGGGCGCAAGAGTCGCACCAGCTGCCATCAGCATCAGCAACATGGCGGCGGCTTAGGAGCGTTCTTTTAAAGATTTTTTTGGAAAGGATAATAGGAGCCAGCAGCTGTGTTTGGAGATATTTGTTTGCCCTTTGGCCCTCTTGCTCCTCTTCTCCAGGGATTATTTTTGTCATTTTTGTCCAGCTGACATGCACCTTTGAAATTAATAGAATTATAATCATAACCTTAAAATGCAAGCCTTTCAATCTTGTTGGTGTTAGACTGGTGGCAGCTGATAAACCTGTTTGCTCTACTGACGTGTAACCCCTGAGTAGCTTAGTTGGTAGAGCGCTCCATTGGAAAAATGAAGAGGTCCCGGGTTCGATACCCGGACCAGGCGGATTTTTTTTTTTTTCGGTCGCGCACCAGTCGCTTTGCTGTGTTTGGATTTTTTTTTTCTCTTCGTTCCTCTTGTTACCCTTCTCCAGAGATTATTTTCGATATCTTAGCATATCTGGGTAGATGAGGAGGGCGCGCGCACAGCTTTAATCCGCGCTCAAAATGGGAGAGGGCACGCGTGCCCGCACCTTCGACTGCATAGCCAAGAAAAGTCGTCCCCGCGAGTATATAGACCTTTGCGAAAATCGCCTTCTGCGCGCTGCCATCTTTGTCTGCTGGGCTGTGGAACGCCTTCTGAGCATGCGCTGTAGCCCTGCTGTGCGGTATATCAGACGCTGCGCATGCGTCCGCAGCTCAGTGACTCAACATTTTTCGCCCCGGTGATAAGCGATGCAAAGGTCTATTGGCGACTCCAGCGAAATCGACGCCGCATAGCGGGAACGCTGAAAAGCTCAAGAGAAGAGGTCGTCTCGACTCTGTCGTTTGCTATCGCTGTTTGGTTCTCGTAGGCCGCATAGAAACAAATATCGTATCCAGTAATTATTTGTATGCTTCCTGCAAGCCATTCCTACGCACTGACTAGAAGAAGGATTCTAGCGCCGAAAAATCGCTTTGCTTTTATATATAACACCAATTTTGCGTTGCAGTGCAAGAACTTTATGGTGGTCCGCGTGTTGAACGACGAAAACGAGCTCCTTTCGTCCGCCATTTTGCCTGACCAGCGCGTCCCCTATAGTTCGCTGGAGTCGCGAATACTGGAAATTGTTTCCAGATACCATGTTCGCAACCAAAATAATATCTGACGTTAGAACCAGACATACACGTTACTGAAACAGATTCATTAAGTACCGTTACTGGTAACTCACTCAAAAAAGAATTAAGTAAGCCACTTATTAGTGCGATTCGAAACAAACGTATTAAATCATCTTGAGAGCCGCGCGTTATTTACTCATTACTCTGAATGCGTCGTTGTTATGATGCAGTATCAGCGCTTCCATTTTTTGTCGTCCTGAACAATTCCTTGATTTTTAATGGGTTAATCCGGGAATAAATTTGGCTGTACTGACACACGTTGTACACATCTTTCATTGTTTTTCGAGCGTTTTCTCCTCGTACAAATTACAGGCGCGAGCTGGAGTGTGAACTATGCGTCGTTTCAGTTTATGTCCAGACGCCGCCAACGCAACCAGATAACTGAACTAATCAAGCAGCGTCAAAAGCCGCAAGTCACTGGGCCTCTTCCGCTTATGATTGGTTTAGCGTCACAGAACACGTACAGAAGTTTAACAAACATTATGATAATTCGCTTTTGACGCTCTCTGATTGGTTCCCATCAGCTCGTAGCGCCGGATACGTCTGGACTTAAAGTGAAACGAAGTGTAGGTTGGGTACTTCTGTTCTACACGTCCCCCCCTCCAGAAGTAACTTCATACAGGTTCTCCTTACTTCATCCAAAATAACGGAAATACGTTACTGCTTCCTTTTCTTAGAAATTAACTAGGTGGCTACTTTGTTAAGGAATGAAGCAATTACCAACTTGGTGCAAGCAACGCGTTACTTGTAACACGCTACGCACCAGTCTGATTAAATCGTAGAAAAATATAAAGCTTGTCTGAGTCATTTTAAGGTGTTTGGCGAGGAGAGCGGCAGAACAACGCTGCGTGGGCAGCTTTCGAGTATCTGCATTTCTGTTGCGTGAACCGCCGGATCCATCTTTCAGTTTTCTAAGAAAAGTGCTGCTAAGTTTTCAGAAAAATAACTTGAAACTCTTTATTTTTGTAAAGTACCGGGTCTTTGAGAGAATATCAAAGCATGTATTGCTCGCCGTAAAAATAAACTACGCATCTGGTCCCAACTGCTAGCGCAACAATCGAGCCTAAAACTTCAGGCTTGGAACATATATGGCACAAGTGCTTGAAAACGGATGCAAAAATGTCAGAGGTTCTCATTGTTTGAATTAAAAGTTATCAGCCATTACTGGAAATTTCTATTGCGAACGTAATATTTTAAGGATACCCAAACATGCACAGGGATGAATGCGTTCGCTAGCAGAAACTGGTGCTATTTTCTGAATGAAAATTAAAAAACAAATCGGAGACAGTTTTATGAGATAACAGTAAGTTTTGACACTTTTGCATCTGATCCCAAATACTAGCGCTATATATGGACCAATATTAATGGTTTGGCGATGTCTAGTTTAATTTTGTGGCGAGAATAACACGGTTTACTTTTCTATCAAACTCGCGGTATTCCGTTGAATCTATCGCAAGCGGCCTTGAACACTAAATACAAATTTCGTGAAACTTTGGAGCGATGCAATGATGGTTATGTTTTTTGTTTAGAGCAAACACGGTACTCAGGAATAAAATGCTGTTCACTTATACTTACGTAATGGTTCTTAATTATGTTCTTCGCTTTCCCATATGTTGCAGCTCTTACTACTTTTGGAAATGGACTTTCATCGCGCAGACGTAAGTAGAGAAAGTTTGTACTATGGCTTATATTATATCATATGAGGGAATCGCATAGTTTTTTTTTTTGGTTTGGTACTTCCAGTACTGCGATAATATCCGTACAGCTATACTACTTTTATGATTCTGAATGCCAATAATTACTTATCAGAAGTAGGAAGATAATAGCAAATTGATTACGCTGTGTATTCTTGCTTGAATGCGATATTTATTTGAAAATGATATTCTTCATGCAGCGGTGCTTCTGCTTCTGCAGAGGAAATAATATACTTCACAATATCGTAACTAAGTACAAATAAATTAAAAACATACCAATTTAGTATAAACTTTTTTGGCAATGAAACTGATTGATTGTTTGTTTGAGTAAAAAACAAAACAGCATGTGACGAAGAAACACAATCAAGCCGTTCAGCATACCATAGCTGAATGCAAAAGCGTAATATCGGCTTTACTATAACTCTATACTTGTAAAATTTGAGGCTGAATTGCTTTAATAAAATCTTACCCCCCCAAACAAATTTCTGCCATGTTTATTTTACTTAAACAAGGCCATAACTACGGATCATAAAGGAGACAATACTTCCAATTCGGGACATGCCTAAAAATCTTGTGTAAATTGTTTCATTACTATGCACGTACGTTGAGAAGTTTCAAACAAACAATTGAGGCAAAGCAAAAGTAAAAGTTTGTGCTCTTGAGCGCCGACCATTAGAAAATGACTCGTTTCATGACAATGGCTTTTCTAATTTTTTTTTTGTCTGTTTCGTTGTAGCCAATGTAATGCAGATTGGTGTTCACTTCACCTACAACCACGAAGTTCAGACGAAGTTTAATAAAACAAACCGTGATCCAAATTATTATTTCACCGTTCTTCTTAATGCCGTAAGTAATATAGAACAACTCAACTCACTGACGTCACGTGACTGCGGTGGCACTGTTGTCGGTACTGCGCATAAGCAAACCTTCGGAATATGGTTTCTGCGCACGAGCAATGCCCAGACCTGGTGTGGGCAAAGCGGGCTTTGTTTGTAAACACTGTGTTGGTGTATAGATAACTTGCATTATTTACAGGAGAATATTCAAAAATTAGTCTAGTTACCGAAAAGATTTTCCCGAGAAAGTTAATATTTCGGGACACGTTTGTTTATGTGAGCTCAAGACTATACACGATAGGCCACTGATATCTAGTGAAATTCTGCATGAAGGGCTTGAAATCATTGGTGCTTAACAGCGCTTTCTGCATAAATTGCATGGTGCAATATTTATATTCTATAAGCTTTATTATAGGTTATTGTGTGTGTAACTCGACAGCACCTTGAATGTCTTACAAGGCTTTTGTATTTAAGGTGGAAACTCGATTGGCGACTCTTCCATACCCTTCAATTGAACTCACGTTGGTTGGGACCAACGCTATCAACGTAAGTTTGAAGTCAAGTTTGGTGTTCGTTAAAAAATAAACTTACAATAAGAACTGCATCTTTAATGAAGTACCTGATAAAATTATTAACAAAATATTTACGTAAGAAATAAAGACAAAAATGCTGGTTTCTTACCGGGACCTGCCATGGAATTGAGGCTTTACCGTGGCGTTACACATCTGTTACATACGGACACAAACAATCCTTCTACATCACTCAAAATTTTGAAACTATGCAGAGGTGTATATTGACACCTGACGTTACCTGCCGACAATAATGGCATTTTGACAAACCATCTTATGATTGGAGCTCAATTGTGAATAGCACATATAGCACGTTTGTTTGAAAACAAAGTCGGCGAAAGATTGACAATAATCAAACTTCTGCCCTTTTTGACTGAAACGTTTAAAAGCTTTGTGCAAGAAATGTTTTCAATGAAAACGTTTTGGCCCCGAAGGAATGAAGGAGTCATTGAAGAAAGCCTAGATTAAATATTTCGTGTTAAAAAAGAAAAGTGAAAAAACTAGAATACAGCAGGTGCTAAGGGTCAGTTTTATCTCACTGCTCAACTATGCACATACAACAACAGGAACCAATGGCGCACAATGACGAGAAAAGAGCTGGGAAACTCACAGAAGAGGCTATAACAACAGCGCCCTTTTTAATGTGGCTTCTTGCTGTATCCTTGTTCTTTTTCGCTGTCGCTTCCTAGTATGAATCACCTACTCACCCAAGCTAAAAATACCGAGGAAATACAATTGGAAACGTAAAGCGTTTGATACAAAGGCACTAAACATTTGCGGCAATACTTAGACCAGAACTGGCATACGCGTCATACGTAGAATACGTGTCTCAATTGTTATATCTCAGCGCAAGTGTCGATGTACCGACAGTGTTGCCAGATGGCGAAGCTCGGTACCAGATTTAGGAAATCTGGTGATATTGGGGAGCCCTCGGTTTCCTGTTCGTGTGCCACTACACCGGACAAAATTTGGCAAAATCTGGGGAAAATACCTTGTGACTTCTGTGGACTGAAATCACTACATTAAGTAGTGAGGGTTTTTGGCTCAAACCGGTCAGTGCCACGTATTAAAAAGGCAAAAGAAAAATCAGCCTACAGAAAAGCAGTCTGCCAGCAGACGGGCGCGTTCCGAGCGAACAGATGGCCGCAATATCTTGGTGTGTTTTCTTAAAATTAAGTACTTTCATATTTTACAAAACGAATCTTGTAAGACGTATTTTCGTGAATGTGTTATATGCCCTTTTTTTTATGGTGACATTGCTGCGTGCACAATCACATTCCTGCTCTGCTGGTCTTTTCTGCTTCACCGTACCCTCGCGCCGTTGGGCTGTGTGCATGCATACCTTAAACTGATGTGATTGATTCGTCATTATAAACTGAGTAATTTGAATTCGATTGTCTGATTCCTCCTAAACGTCTTTAACGTTAATTTTTATTGTCTGGTGAAATCTGGTGAAATTCCGAAGTGAGTCTAGTTCCGTGACCACTCTCCTATCTGGCAACGCTGTGTACCTGGTGATAGTTATGGGGAGAAAATTGGCTTAAAAAACCGGGAGGTATCATATTCTCGTAAAAATGAGCGTGCTGGTTAAGTTACGGTGTTAGAAAAGAATAACATAAAAAACGGGAACCGGACGACACGTGTCGTCCGGGTCTCGTCCTTTATGTTATTCTCCTCTAACACCAGGTCCAGGTCAGGTAAACTTTATTGAGCCTTTATCGTACAAGGGGGTCGGACGCTTTAGGGTCCGAGTCTGGTACAATATTTAAGCTTGGCCCGGGGGGAAGGGGGATAAAGGAGGATTGTTTAGAAATCTCTGCTGGAGTTGTTCTTTAAGATGCTCGAAGAGTTCTTCGGCCCTTTCTATAAGGAGAAGTTGTATTTGCTTGTCTTCTTCTATTTGTAATAAAAAGGTCCAGTGCGGGATCATCGTGGTTGCGTTTTCTACTATTACGGATTTTAAAATTTACGGAATGGCAAAGTTGGGGAACTCCCAGAACATGTGTTCGAGGGAGCCGGGCCGGGGTGTGTCTTCAGGGCCTGTACATCTTGTGCAGGTAATATTGAAGAGGTGTGGGTAGATCTTGAGATATCTCCGTGGAGTTGGTATGGCGAAAGCTTGTAATCTTCGCCAAGTGCGTGCTTGTTGGTGGTTGAGCTCCCTGTGTGCAGGTGAGAGTGTTCCTCTTTGGTCCTTGTAGGCTCTGTTGGCTCCACTGAAGGATGTGTTGATATCCCCTGAGAGAGGGGCAGCGTAGTTGTGTTCTCCGGAAACTTTCCATCCGGCTGCGACGTCGTCTCGGTTTGAGAGCGCTTGAGACGCCATCGAATGGGCTGCTTCTTTTCTAGAGAGATTCGAGTGCGCTGGGACCCATATAACCTTGAACTTGCTGTCCCCTGTTAGTCGTCTGAAGCTACTTAGAATTTTCCTAGCCGGGGTGCCTGACCTACCTCGCAGGTAGTTCACAATGGCAGTTCTTGAGTCTGTAGTTATGGTACTGTCTTTGGCGGTTTTGACTGCAGCTAGCATGGATAGTGATACCGCGGCTTCCTCCGCTTCGTCAATGTTGTCAGCTGCAACAGAGGCAACATGACTGTGTTCAAGGTTGAAAGCTGTGATCACATACCTCTTTGGTTGCCCAGGGTATGGGCTGGTGTCCGCATGATAGATGGTGGAGTCCCCGTTATGAATCTTATTGAGGGCTTGTGCTCGGGCTTCCCTTCTTCCGTTGTTGTGTCTTGGATCCATGTTTCTCGGAGGCGGTTTAATGATGATTCTTTTGCGCCATAACTTTGAGACGTCCCATTTGGGTGGTAGTACCTGTCCGTACTATAGCTTGACCATCTGGAGGGTTCTAAGCCCTGTAGGCGTTTGTGATAATCGATGATGTTGCGCCTTACTTTGAGCTTCACGGAGCTCCTGGAATAAATTATGCAGTCCCATCTGTTCTAGTCTGTCAGTAGACGTAGCCTGTGATAACCTTAAGGCTGTCTTGTACGTTTCTATGATTATTGCATCGATTCCTCTTATGGCAGTTTGGGAGACAGTCATGTATTGTGTCGCATATATAATTCTGCTTAAGACGTGCGCTTGTATTAGTCTGCAGGTATCCTTTTCTCCTAGACCATAATGTCTGTGAGACATTCTTTTGATAAGGCAAGCAACACTTCGCATCCTGCTTACGCAAAATGCGAAGTGTCTCCATGTTCCCTTCGTTTGCATGTAGCGTCATAACAATTATCTCAGTAGACTCCACCCTTGGTATGGGTTGCCCCTGTATTTGCACTTGAAAGTTTACCAGGGCTTTGCCCTTCTTGAGTGGACTCCTTGCAAGTAGTGCTGACTTCTCGGAGGCGCATTCTAGTCCCATACGTGCTGTTTCCTCCGCCACTATGTCTGTACCTTGTTGTAGTGCGTTTTCCATCCACGGCGGTGGGGCATTAGTCCATAGGGTTATATCGTCCGCATACATTGCCTGCTTGAGATATGAGACTTGCTCGAGTAGTTGAGATATGGGTATCCTAGCTTGGTGAAAGAGGAGAGGGGAAAGGACCGCTTCCTGTAGTGTGCCTCTTCCTTGATACATGGCAAAGGGGTCCGACACGTGATCTTCCAGCTTGATTTGTGCAGTTTTATCCACCAGAAAGGACTTCACGTAGTTGTATGCTTTTTCGCCTAGATTTAGACGTGACATCTGTTCTAGGATGACCAAATGTGCTACCCTCTCAAGAGCTTTGCGCAAGTCCATCGCTGCTACTGCTTGCCAGCGGGCTTCTCTGGAGTGATAGTCTTTGTGAAGTTGTAGAAAGATGTCCTGTGTCGATAGATGGCTTCGCAAACCATACAAGTGGTGTGGGAATGGTCCTTGCTGTTCCATGTGTTCCTGAAGGCGTCGCTTTATCACTCGTTCCACGAGTTTTCCACCACATGATGTCAAAGATATAGGCCTCAGGTTCGTGAGTGCCAGTTGTTTACCCGGTTTAGGAATAAAGGATACTATCAATTGCGTGCCTCCAACTAGGAGGGACCTCTCCCGTGTCCCATATCCCATTGAATTATTCTTTGTTGGCCGTGACAGATTCATCGTCCAGATTCCGAAGAGCTTTGTTGCTGACCTTGTCTACCCCGAATGCCGAGTTAGGCCTAAGGTTTTGCATTGCAGCTCTTACTTCACTTTCTTCAATTGGAAAGTCGATGTCTGGTTTGTCATCTCCTGAGTAGGGTCGGCTGTGTGCTTTATCTCCTACAATTCTTGATGTTTGGAGGTATGCCTCTTTGAGTGTTTCACAGATTGTGTCTTCGTCGTCGGGTATGTCCCTGAGTATCTTTGTTATGGCTTTACATTTTTTCGTTTTCTGGTTTTCTGGGTCTAGCAAATGCCGGTACAAAGCCCAAGGTCTTTTGCTATGAAGTTGACCCTTGAGTCCATCGCATGTTTGCTTCCAGTATTGTCCATTCAGGTATTTTGCATGTTCCATTATATCTCGAAATAGTCTCACCGCTCTTTTTTGCAGTTTCTTATAAATTTTGCCAGTATCTTTCCACCTTCGGTACAATGAGTAGTGTGCTTGAACCCTGTTTTGGAACCTGGTGTCTATTGTTCTCGCTTGCATTGGGTTGGGCGTGTCCCTCGTAGCTTCCCTTTGGTCTTCGGTAACTTGCTATTCCCACTGTTCTCTCGATGTTATGGGTTCCCTAGTAAAAAAAATCATTTGTATGAGAAATGTCTTGTGTCCAATAAACACATATGAATCATACAAGATATATAAGAACATATAATAATTATATGAGAACTATATAAGAATTATATAAGATATATTAGAACCCCATAAGAAACTTATAGGAAACTTCCCACTAGTTTCTTATATGGTGCTTGCATGTTCTCATATATCTTATATAGTTCTTATATGGTTCTTATATGTTCTTATATATCTTGTATGATTCATATGTGTTTATTGGACACAGAAATTTCTCAT